CATCCATGGTCATTATTTTTGTTTTCTTTATGTTCAGCAACAAGCCTGTCTTTGCATTTTCTTCTTTGACTTTCACTAGTAGTTGTTCGAAGTCCATGATGTTTTCCGCTAGCAGTATGGTGTCACCTGCATATTTTAGATTGTTGACTTTCCTTCTTCCTAACTTTACTTCTTCTGAGTCTAAACATGCTCTGCATATGATCTTTTCTGCATAAAAGTTGAACAAGTAGGGTGGTAATATGCAGCCTTGACTGACCCTTGCCTGTGGCAAATTTAGTTGCAAAATCTGGTGTTGTTTTTTTTAACTTGAATGCTGTACTCTGTGCAACTGTGGTTGATGATGATTGTATAAGGCTTAACAATTGCATTAAGCTTAATGCATTTATGATTATTGTATTAATAGTTGCATTAAGCTCAATGGAACTGGTGTGCTGTCTTTGTTTGAGTGTTGGACTATGACTCTGGAGAACAGGGTTCGAATCCCAGCTCAGCCATGGGAAAGCACTGGGTGACCTTGGGTAAGTCACACCCTCTCAGCATCAGAGGATGGCAATGGCAACTCCCCCCCTCTGAAGAAACTTGCCAAGAAACCCCATGATAGGTTCACCTCAGGTGTGCCATAGGTCACAAACTCAAGAGATCCAACATGGTGTATTGGTTTAAGTGTTGGACCAGTATTGAGAGCCTGTGATTCTAATTTCTTATTGCTCATGGAAACCTACTGGGTGACCTTGGGTGAAGCACACTCTCTCAGCCCCAGGGGATCGCAATGGCAACCCCCTTCTGAAGAAGCTTGCTGCACACAACAACAACAAACTAAGCTTAATACCTCCTGTGACATTACAAGGAGGGGGTCATCCCTGGGTCTCAGGCTATGACCCTTAATCCTCAGCATTTGGGACCAAAATACCACACTACACTGTTATAGCGCTATTGTTCCACTTTTACTGCTCTGGCTGCCTCCTGTTGCATTCTGGAATTTGCAGTTAAGAGAGGGGCATTTAGAATTCTTAGCCAGAGAGCTTTTAGGACTCCAGAATGCAACAGTAGGCAGCCAGAACAGTAAAAATGGAACAATGGCACTATAACAGTGTAGTGCAGTATTCTCCTTAGACTGCATCCACACTGCACAAACAATCCAGTTTAACTGCCATGGGCTGAGTGCTATGGAATTCCGGGCTTTGTAGTTTGTTGTGGCACCAGAACTCTCTGACAAAGAAGTCTGAATGCCTCGCAAGCTACAAATCCCAGAATTCCACAGCACGAAGCCATGGCATTTAAAGCGGTCTAAAACTGGATCATCCCTGCAATTTGGATGAAGCCATAGGCCCAAAACACACTGCAGAAATAATCCAATTTGAGACGGCTTTAACCGCCCTGGCTCAGTGCTACGGAATTCTGGGAACTGTAGTTTTGTGAGACATTTAGCCTTCTCTGTCAGACAGCTCTGGTGCCACAATAAACTACAATTCCCAGGATTCCTTAGCACTGAGCCAGGGCAGCTAAAGCAATGTCAAACTAGATTATCCCTGCTGTGTGTTTTGGACAGGGGGTAGGCAACCTTTCCCCTTTAAGGGCCGAGGGACTTCAGCTCCCAGAAGCCTCAGCCATGTTGGCCAATAGTCAGCCCTTAAAGGGGAAAGGTTGCCTACCCCTGCGAGAGTGTTGTGAAATAATCTTCTTACAACCAAGGGCTCTCAATCTCCCTCCGGTCCTCCCCGCCTGTCGTTCTCCCTTCCAACGGGCAGGGGTCGCTGTGGGATATGGGGCTTCCGGTAGAGCGGCGGAAGTGGGCCGCTCTCTCCCTCTGGGCAGCCGAGGCGTCATATGACCCGCCAGGCGGGGAGCGAGAGGGAGACTCAGCTGTGCTGTAAGGGAGGCGAGGAAGAAGAGGGGAAGAAGGCGTAGAGGAACCACCGCCGCCATGCTGGCGCTGTTGTCTCGGCTGCTGGACTGGTTCCGGTCCCTGTTCTGGAAGGAGGAGATGGAGCTGACGTTGGTGGGGCTGCAGTACTCGGGCAAGACCACCTTCGTCAACGTCATCGCGGTGAGAGGAGGAGGGAGGGAGGGGCGCATCCGCACTGAGAAATAGCCCGGTTTGGCACCGCTTTAACTGCCCTGCCACCGTCCTATTGAATCCTGGGGTTTGTATTTTGGTTAGGCTGTTGAGGCGCCATCCTTCTTGGGCAAGGAAGGCTGGAGGCCTTGTAAAACTACACATCCCAGGATGTCATATGGCACTTAAAATGGTGTCTAATTGTATTGTTTGTGCAGTGGTTGTTGTGTTTCTCCCCACTTATGAAAGCCCTAAGGCGAACCTATCATGGGGTTTTCTTAACAAGTGTGTTTCAGAGGGATTTTTTTTTTTTGGCCACTGCCTCCCTCCTTCTGAGGCTGAGAGAGTGTGACTCACCCAAGGTCACCCAGTGGGTTTACATGGCCGAGCTGGGATTCGAACCCTGGTTTCCAGACTCCTAGTCCAGTACTCAAACCACTACACCACACTGGTTCTCAAGCACCATTAAAAGTATAGGAGCCCTCTCCAGTTTTCACTCTGTTGTGTGTATTGTGTGCCTTTAAGTCAGGGTGACCAGGTGTCCTCATAACCACAAAGAAGGACAAGGCACTGCAAAATGTAGGGCGTTCAGGAAATGGAGCACATTGCACAAAATAAAAGCTAGAAATGCTCATAGAAATGTGAAATCATGCTTCTTAGTCATGTTCAAAATGGAGGACATTTTGGAATTCTTCCTGGACAGAAGGTTGAAATGGAGGATGTATTCTGGAAAGGGAGGACCTCTGGGCACCCTGGATTGTGGTGACTGTAAAGCAAACTTATCCTGGGGTTTTCTTGGCAAGATTTGTTCAGACCAGGTTTGACTTTGTGTCCTTCTGAGGCTGAGAGAGTGTGACTTGCCCAAGGTCACCAGTGGGGTTCCATGGCTGAGCAGGGAATCACGCCCTGGTCTCCAGAGTCATAGGGCCTTTGCAGACTGCCAGAAATAGTGCAAATTAAATTGAGGCACTGCCCTGGCTCAGTGCTAGGGAATCATGGGAACTGTAGTATATTGTGGCACCAGAGCTCTCTGACAGAGAAGGCTCAATGTCCAGGGAAAAAAATACAATTCCCATGACTCCCTAGCACTAAGCCAGGGCAGTGCCTCAATTTCATGTGCACTATTTCTGGCAGTCTGCAAAGGCCCATTGTCCCATGCTCAAACTGCTGCACCAGGCTGGCTTAAAGTGTAGATGCACCTGTGTTGAAGAAATTTCCACTGTTTTTGTTTGTAGTGTGCCTACAATATAAGATGTAATATAAGAGTGGGATATGACTCGTACATGTATTGATATTTTCTTGTGGTGAACGTTTTAAACTTAACTTAAACACTTGTGTTTCTCTTCACTAACAAATTTTGTTACTGTTCAAACGCATTGACTACAGAATTTCTTGTCTATATCCTCTTTTTTAAAAATACTCATTTTGACTTCCTAGTTCTAGCTTCCTGAATGGGGAATTGGTGTCAACCATGCAATGAGCAATCAACAATAGAAATTGGGTATCTCCCACTTAGTGGCAGTTCTCTAGTCATTCTGAAAGCTAAACTAAGAGTATTACCAAATTCAGGGTGCTCTAGAAATAATGCAGTTTGACACCACTTTAACTTCCACGGCTACATTCCACAGAATCCTGGGGTTTGTAGTTCTGTGAGGCACCAGCCCTCTTTGCAGAGAAGGCTAAAGTCCGTGTAAAACTACAAACCCAGGATTACATAGGATGGTACTACAACACTTAAAAGTGGCATCAAACTACATATCGAGGAGGGAACAAGCTTGTTTTCTGCTGCTCCAGAGACTAGGACCCGAAACAATGGATGCAAGCTCCAGGAAAAGAGATTCCACCTCAACATTAGGAGGAACTTCCTGATAGTGAGAGCTGTTCGACAGTGGAACACACTCCCTCGGAGAGTAGTGGAGTCTCCTTCCTTGGAGGTCTTTAAGCAGAGGCTGGATGGCCATCTGTCGGGGATGCTTTGATTGGGAGTTCCTGCATGGCAGGGGGTTGGACTGGATGGCCCTTGTGGTCTCTTCCAACTCTATGATTTTATGATTCTACATTATTTCTGCTGGCCTAAAACAGAATGGGGGAGGAGGAGGAGAAGAATGACTTCCTTTGGTGGTGTACAAAGAGAGAGGGCCACTGCAGGAGGGGAAAGTAGCTACTCTCCTGGCAGGAGTTAAAGCATTTATTTGGGCTTCAGAGACTGTGCTGCCCCCATTGGTGGCATGGGGATTTCTAGTTTGCAGGAAAATAACATAGATGGCAGGGAGGATGATTAAAGTATCTCCTGCCCCCTTTCAGAATCTGTGTATCTGTTCTTCATGCATGGCAGCATGGGGTTTTCTTTTGTTGGTGCAATGCTAAGATGTAATTGTCACATATTTTAAGAGCCTGGGAGCTGTATTTACACAGCCAAGACAATTTCATATTAGTTTAGCTGCTGTGGCACTTTTTATGGAATCCTAGAATTTGTAGTTTCATGAGTTCCTTGGGATTCTTTACCAGAGAGCTCTCCAACAGAGAATTGTGAGTATCTCACCAAACCACAAAACCCAGAATTCTGTGAAAAGGAGTCACAAGGGTTAAAAAGTGCCATCAAGTTTTGATCACTGTGGAGTGTAGACATTACAATAGAAGAGCTGTTCTTTAAATCAAGTCTCTGAGGATCAGTGAAGTGACGGGGGCCTGGTGGGTCTGAGCCCAAGGAAGAGTGCCTCTGTGCATAATACATTGTCTCATCACAATTATGGATTAAGCAGCATTGCAAAAGGGTAGGCTGATGCCTCTCCCTGCCTAGTCCTATCTTGGGCAGATCTCATGTTCTTTGTGTAACAGCCACAACTTGGGGTAGGGAACTTCAGGAGCTCTCAGTTCCTCCCTGTTTTAGCAACTTCTCTGATCCTGACTTTGTGGGTGTGGCCTTGAGAACTTCCTTCTCCCTTTGCCCAGTGAGTCGACCCAAGTCCTTCAGGATGGGTGGATTTTAAGTGCTTGCTTTGTTTTACCCAACTCTCCCTTGATTGCCCAATGAGTTTCTGAGCTTGTTCTCTTTGGAAGAGCTTAGGAAGAGCTTAACATACCCTGGAATGTTACCAGTGCAAGATCACTGTACCATCAGAAAATGGTCCCAAGGTGCCTTATATGTTGGTCAAGATCACCAGTGTGGTATAATGCAAGATCACTGTACCATTAGAAAATGGTCTCAAGATGCTATGCAATGAATAATAATAATAATAATAATAATAATAAATAAAATTTATTTATATACCGCCTGGTGGCGGATCAATCTAGGTGGTTCACAAAGCTAAAAATATACACAGCTTAAAATAACATGACTCACTCCCAATTAAAACAGTAACTATTAAACAGCAACGCAATAACTATTAAAAGCAAAACAAAAGGACCAATTGAATAAAGACAATCACCCTAGTACGACTTCAGAGTCTAACAAGGGTTGAAGAGACATTCTTAAGTAGAAACAGCCCAAGGTCCCGAAACTCCAAGGCACGGTATATTTTTAGTCTGGAAAGGCCTGCCGGAAGAGATC